ACATATCGGTCCTTACTGGGCGAAGAGATAATTTCTATAGACCCCCCCTCCGCTTCACACCGTTAGGTTTCATATGTTGTTTATTAATTGCCATTAATTGGGATTAATAGTGGAGTGATTTCCCGTTGCTTTCTCCACGATAGTTTTTTGAGACACCGACTCTCGTTGATTCATCGAGAGTTCTTCCGCCCCTTGTTAGGCCTTATTTTTCGTCCTACTGGGTTGCAAATTACCCGCCTCACTCTTAAGAACATGGAGTGGGGTAGTCGGTTTAATCGGCGGCACTCCGACAATGGAATACCTATATATATACCACACAAACATAAATACGTACATGTGCGCCGGGGAATAAAGAAAAAAAAACTAGTCTCCCGCCAACACCATCTGTAAACGAGGAAAGTGTTAATGCATCGAAGTTAATAAGTTAATATGTAAAATAATAAGAAAGACCGGTGATATTTATAATTCAGAGTTCTTAGCTTTTATTTCTATTTAAAAAACACTGCTCAATACGATCTGTAGAGCTTAATATAAAAAAAAAACAGTTATAATATATATATATATATATATATATATATATATATATATATATATATATTACAAAAAAACAAAAATAGAGATAATCTACTTTAAGCCGTTCAGTACGCGGTTTTCATCAGCCCCTAAGTGTCTGTCTCGGAGTATTTATTTTCAATGTCAGTCCTCCTCTAGTAGACGCCTTGTTAATGAGAATGGGTTTGTGTTAGCGATTGGTGGGGGCGTAAGGTATCTTATCCCGGGGGAAGCGGTCGAGTGTTGAATGTAATCACTCACACTGTGGATCAGTTTTAATAACTAATATTACTAAATATTACTAGGATCCACCCGGATCATATACCAAAGGATTGATTACCTGTACTATATATATATATATATATATATACGTTCAAGCAAAGATAGGAAGACATTGGAAAGAATAAAAAAGTATTATCAAATTAAAACAAGACATTGCATTCGAAAGTGATTGAATTCGCCTATTTCAAGACCGGTATGTTCGTATGGAGAATGATGACCTAAAGATAAAAGAATGCTGGGAGATGGAAGATGACGCCGTAGAGTTGGGATTAAAAAATAAATTCTCTTTCTTTCCCGGTCAAGATCGACCCCCTACTATCTTGGTTCTTGTTTCAGTTCGGGATTTCTTCCTTTTCTTTTTTGGGTCTGTCCGTTTTATGTTTCACATTTAATTTTTTAAATGACGAAAAAAAGAGAAATAGCCACTCATTGTAATTGCGTTCTCATAATCCCCAGTCAGTCTCCACCCAAAAAAACAAAAAAAAAAAAACGAAAACAAAAAAAAAAACATCATTAAATCGATGTTAATAAGGTAGAGTAGAGCGGAAGGGAATAAATTTAACTTTGGTTAACTTTTAACTTAGTATAAGTCCAAATACACAGTCACTGTGAATGCGTTCTCATAATCCCTAGTCAGCCTCCACCAAAAACATCATTAAATGCTGCGATCCCCAATCAATTAACATTACGATAATAAACACATTATTAGTATCAGTACGGCCGTATGTATATATATATATATATATATATATATATATATATATATATATATATATATATTTATACGTACGGACGTCTTCCTACATTTGCTTGAACGTTTCCCCCCTCTCTCTCTCTCTATATATATATATATATATATATATATATATATATCTGTACGGACGTATATATATATATATATATATATATATATATATATATATATAGATAGATAGATAGAGAGAGAGAGAGAGAGAGAGAGAGTGAGAGAGAAAGAGACGTTCAAGCAAATATAGGAAGACACTGGAAAGAATAAAAAATATTAACAAATTAAAACAAAACATTACATTCGAAACTGATTGACTTAGCCCGTTTAGTGCATGTTAAATAAAAGAATACTTAATATCATTTTCAATTACGTAAGTTTTTAGAGGAATGCTTTAAATATGGTAGTGCATTTCTTTTCAAATAATATTATTGATATTTATATCACTGTTATTTAAGGACATCACTTGAAATTAACTTGTACACTTTACTTTTAAATGTTAATAATGCCATTTTTAGATTAGGTTATCATCTTTCGTTGTAAAAATAAATACACAGGAAACCGTTTGATGACAGCCAATAATGAACTTTCATATTCGCTGTAAAAAGTATAATGTAACCATTCTCTTGACACAAATATGAATATTCGAAAACTTTTTTTATTCTTTTCTCCTTAATATTGTCTGCTGCAAAATTGTATGAAACTGACGTCAGGTGACTATAACGACAAAAACTAAAAATAAAAAAACTAGTTCTTTCTTACCGCCTCTTCCTCTTCTCACTCCTTTTTTTCTCCTCCTTCTCGAGTTGCTGATGTCATCAACGGATAATTCTAGAAGACCTTCAATACTTGAGGTATTTTAAACGAGAAATTGCTTTTGCTATCCGAATCGCTAAAATCGAGTGTAAGAAAGCGAAAAAAAAAAAAAAAACAAAAAACAAAACTTTGAATAAATGTTGTATAAAAACAAGACGAGAGTGTTAAAACACCCACGCCAAACCTCACATCCTAGAGACAATTGGTAAAATTCGTGTCTCCGAAAACAGAATTAATCTCATGCAATAAAATCAACATCACGTATGTGCTTGTAACGTTCACGTAACACTTGAAATAATACGAGAAACCTCAGCGACCATAAGTGCAACGTATAATATTTGTTTTTTTTTCATCTACAAGCTACAGCGATTATTCTAAAAGCGATTTAATATTAAATAATATTGACTAAGGCTTTTTTCGTCTATGTCCCTGAATTTATATCTTGTTATTTTGTTTATTTAGAAAAAAAAAATAGAAAAAAAAGGTTAATTATGTTATGAATGATAGACATCGTTAAACGATGCAGAAATGCTTAACTCATCTTTAGACAAAATTATTTCATTTCGTAATCTTCTGTCTAAGATGGTTTCTATTTTCAGGTCAGTTAATTTATTTCTTTGCTTAAGAAATCATGAAGCGAATTTATAAATAAACTACATCTTGAAATTTGAACGCTTCTCTACGCATTGTTACGCTATACAGGCTAGAGTCACGATTGACGGTAGACAGTATTCTGGGGGTTACTAATTAAGATTTCGAGTACCAAGGGAGAAAAAGGAAGTGAGAAACTATAGGAACAACACCTGATATAAATAGCTGATGATTTTAAATCAGATGCCATATATGATTAAGAAGTGTTTGGAAAGGTTAATTTATGAGAAAGTTCCATGTATCGAGTTGAACGATTTCCTCAGTGATGAAGAAGAGACTCGAGGCGACGTAGATGTGATTCTGCAGAGGCATGCTGAAGATATCATGGAACATGTTGTGTTCGTTTATCACCTGACGACGGAGATGTGGTTCTACAGAGGGATGCTGAGGATATAATGGACTATAACCATAATTCATAACCAGCTACCAATTGGAAATGTCAACATCAAATACGTGCAAATAATAAAATATCAGGGAATTGTTTTATGGTAACCACTGTCTTTTTCATTTTATGTTGACATGCAAAACTCATTTTTCATCACCTGTAACTATGTGATGCCCAAATGAAAGGTTAGCATTCCTGGTTAATAGTCTGCTGTAGATGGTGAAGCTTTGTGTTCGGTTATCACCTGAAAGCAACGATTATAGAGAGGATTCAATCAAGGAGGACGCTTATACTTAACATCAGGAAGATTCAGCTGAAGTTGCTGGGACACATAATGAGGAAGGAGGACCTAGAGAATCTGATACTCACGAGTCGAATAGAAGGGAATAGAGACAAAGGAAAACAACGCATGACATACTTAGCGGCCTTAAGCAAGTGGATGACAGAATGTGGTCTGAGGGAGGTTGCAGAAGGAAGGAACTTGTTGAGAGCTGCATGGGATAGAGGGAGGTAAAGACCCATGATCGCCTACGTCCTGAAAGGACACGGCAAATAGAAGGAAGTGGCAAAAGTAGTAACCATAAACTGTAAGAAAACAGAATGCATGGTTGCTAGCAAGAGAAAAAAAGCACAAGAATCGAACTACCAACTGGTTAGTTGTTTTTGTTTAGCGCCATATAAACCTTTATGGCTTATTTAATGCCGAAATCTTAATATTTTGAATGCAGTTTTATTTTATGTCTAAACAATAATGGTTTTTGTGATGCAAGTCTTACTAATTAACCCATAACCAACTACCGATTGGAGATATCAACATCAAACAAGTGCAGATGCTAAAATATCAGGTAAGTGTTTTATGATAACCACTGTCTTTTTCATTTTATGTTGACATGCGAAACTCATTTTTCATCACCTGTAACAATGCGATGCCCAAATAAAAGGTTAGCATTCCTGGTTAATAGTCTGCTGCAGATGGTGGAGCTTTGTGCTTGGTTATCACCTGAAACCCCATGAGGAACCGAAATTCCTTCGCTGCAAGCTTCCAATTAAAATACGAAATGCTCTATAAACAACACCCCAAGAGATGATCATCTAATTCTAAACTTACATTCCTACAATTCAGTTTTGGTTCTGCCTTGGTTTGTTAGCTTATAATACATAACAGTGAAATACAATGAAAATAACAATGAAATACGTAATTAGTTTCTGAACTCTTTAATGTATTGATTTACTTGTAAATGTATTTTTCGCAATGCAAAATTAGGAAATTAACGTGTGAATATCAAGTTTTATATCAAGGTCGACCGTAGTCGGGAATCATGGAGTTATTGTGAACTCCTCGATCCTTTCGTTAGTTGCTTTGCAGTATGTACTTCAACGGGCCTACATACGGTTTGGGGATTCGGAGCTACTAGCCAAGTCTGAACAGTCCCGTCTATTCTACTATTTAACCCATAGTAGAGGGTTTCATAGCTTTCTCAAGGGTATTTGCGCGTAAGTGATTATAACGAAATCCACCGTGTTCTCATTCCGAGCCGATATCCATTACACCGCCCGGATATCTTCAAGCTTACAGCACATGGTATTTTCAAGCGGCCACACGACATGGGTACTAACTACGCTCAACGTTGTTTAACTTTGCTGATCGGACGGGAACCAGTGTTTCGGCGGGTTACGGCCGTAAGCAAACTTTTATAAAGAACTTTTATAACTTTTTATATGCCTCTTTTAAATAATTTTAAAATCCGTCTGAATTTCAGTTCTGAAAAATAATTTGCAAGAAAAGCTGTGTTCGTTTCGCCAGTTACGGAATAGGACACAGAAACGTTCTTAACACGAAACATGTATGCTACGATGTATGTATAGATCGTAGAAGGTGGTAGGATGTCTGTAATGTCAAGGCGGACATAAGACCATGATGCATCTAGTTTTCAGACATTTAGTTGTGTAACGATTAATTTTCTTACGTTATTAGGAAATGAACTGATGGGGCTCTTAAAAAATCACTTCTACTCATTGACGACCATAGAAATCTCTCTAAGATATCAGTGTTATTAGAATGAGAAAGTGGATAGAAAGTTTGAGTAGTGGTTTACAATATATATTTATCAAATGAGGAAGCCATGAACATCAGATACTCAATATTAAGTAATGATTTGTCATATAGGGTTGGCTATTCTTATAACACAATTGAGCCACCCAGAATGATTACACTGCTTAATGATCTGTCAGAAATAATTGCTGACGACTGCCATAAGCTTAGAGACAATAGTTGGTGTACCATGAACATTGGACTGACTACCCTACTTAATGATATATAAGAAAATTTGATGACCATTATTATAAGCCATGAGGAAGACGTTATTAATCTTTGTCAGGAATCTTCAGACGTAGCCCTTAAACACTGAGAAATTCAGTGTATGATGTAGACGTATACTTGATTTAAAGCATTAAAAAGACAATTTCCCTGCAAAGAACACGTTGGTTGGTTTAGCTTGAATATCGAACTGACTTCGCTATTTAATGCTCAACAAGCCAATTTGGTGACCACTGTTATAAGGTTAGACATGAGCGCTTACATAGAATGACTATCGAACTGACTTAATGGCACAAGAAAAATGTACTGAATGATCTACAAGAAAATATCGCTGACCATTTACTGTATGCTTAGACACGAGCGTTGGTCTAGAATGACTATCGAACTGACTTTGGCACTTAATGCTCTACAAGAAAATGTACTGACCATTGCTATATGCTTAGACACGAGCGTTGGTCTAGAATGACTATCGAACTGACTTTGGCACTTAATGCTCTACAAGAAAATGTACTGACCATTGCTATATGCTTAGACACGAGCGTTGGTCTAGAATGACTATCGAACTGACTTTGGCACTTACCACCATTGCTATATGCTTAGACACGAGCGTTGGTCTAGAATGAAAACTGACTTTGGCACTTAATGCTCTACAAAAAATGTACTGACCATTGCTATATGCTTAGACACGAGCGTTGGTCTAGAATGACTATCGAACTGACTTTGGCACTTAATGCTCTACAAGAAAATGTACTGACCATTGCTATATGCTTAGACACGAGCGTTGGTCTAGAATGACTATCGAACTGACTTTGGCACTTAATGCTCTACAAGAAAATGTACTGACCATTGCTATATGCTTAGACACGAGCGTTGGTCTAGGAATGACTATCGAACTGACTTCTGGCGCGTTAATGCTCTTACAAAAAAATGTACTGACCATTGCGATATGCTTAGATACGAGCGTTGGTCTAGAATGACTATCGAACTTACCTGGTTTAGGTGGAATGCCTCTACAAGAAAATGTACTGACCATTGCGATATATGCTTAGACACGAAAAGTTGGTCTAGATACAACTTCGGCAATTTTAATGCTCTACAAGAAAATGATTTTGGTCTTAGACACGAGCGTTGGTCTAGAATGACTATAAAATTGACCATTTGCGGCAGATTGGTCTAATGTATTTACAAGAAAAATTGCTATATGCAATGTGGTCTTTATTGTTTCGGCAGACACGACCATTTAGCAATGGTCTAGAATGACTATCGAACTGACTTCGGCACTTAAGTGCTCTACAAGAAAAGTACTGACCATTGTATGCTTAGACACGAGCGTTGGTCTAGAATGACTATCGAACTCACTTTGGTGTGTACTGACCATTGCGATATGCTTAGACACGAGCGTTGGTCTGGGATTGACTATCGAACTGACTTCGGCACTTAATGCCTACAAGAAAATGGTACTGACCATTGCGATATGCTTAGACACGAGCGTTGGTCTAGAATGACTATCGAACTGACTTCGGCATAATGCTTAATTTAAATATGTGAACAAAGAATGACCTCATTTTGCGATATGCTTGCTATATGAGACACGGCCTTGGTATTATCAGAATTCGACTATCTCTACAAGAAAAATCATCATGACTTAACTGCGTTTTCAAGAAAAAGTACTCCATTGCGATTGCTTAGACACGAGCGTTGGTCTGGAATGACTATCGAAAATGTACTGACCATTGCTATATGTCACGGCAATATCGAACTGACTTCGGCATCTGTGAAAATGTACTGACCATTGCGATATGCTTAGAATGACACGAGCGTTGGTCTACAAGAAAATGTACTGTTGCTATATCGAACTCACCTGCGCTTCGGACGTAATGTACTGACAAGAAAATTGTAACATCGATTGTCTTGTATGCTTAGACACGAGCGTTGGTCTCCAATGACTATCAGTTTTTTCTCTACAAAGAAAATGTACTGACCATTTAGTATATGCTTAGACACGAGCGTTGGTCTAGAATTGACTATTTTGGCACTAATGCTCTACAAGAAAATGTACTGACCATTGCGATATGCTTAGACACGAGCGTTGGTCTAGAATGACTATCAGACTGACTTCGGCACTTAATGCTCTACAAGAAAATGTACTGACCATTGCGATATGCTTAGACACGAGCGTTGGTCTAGAATGACTATCAGAACTCACTTTGGCACTTAATGCTCTACAAGAAAATGTACTGACCATTGCTATATGCTTTGACATCGAACTGACTTCGGCACTTATCTTTATGCTTTGAAAATGTACTGACTGACTTCATTAATTATATCTATAGACACGAGCGTTGGTCTAGGAATGACTATCGAACTGACTTCCGGCACTTAATGCTCTACAAGAAAAAACGCTACTGACTGTTGCGATATGCTTAGACACGAGCGTTGGTCTAGAATGACTATCGAACTGACTTCGGCATTAATGCTCTACAAGAAAATGTACTGACCATTGCCATATGCTTAGACACGAGCGTTGGTCTACAAACTTTGGCACTTATCGAACTCTATATGCTTCAGCGTTGGTCTAGAGTGACCTTAATGCTCTACAAGAAAAATGTACTGACCATTGCTATATGCTTAGACACGAGCGTTGGTCTAGAATGACTATCGAACTGACTTTTGCATGGATGCTCACGTTAAATGTACTGACCTTGCTAATGCTCTATATGCTTGCTATATGACACGAGCGTTGGTCTAGAATGACTATCGAACTGACTTTGGCACTGTAACCATGCTCTACAAAGAAAATGTCCACTGACCATTGCTATATGTACTTAGACATATGTGGGCTGGGTTGGTCTAAAGTGACTATCAAGGCTGACTTCGGCCCCCCTCTACAAGAAAATGTCAGACCATTGCGATATGCTTAGACACGAGCGTTGGTCTAGAATGACTATCGAACTGACTTTGGCACAATGCTCTACAAGAAAATGTACTGACCATTGCCCTGCTTACACGAGGCGTTGTCTACCATGACTTATCGAAGAATGACTGACTTTTGGCACTAATGCTCTACAAGAAAATGTACTGATCATTGCTTTATGCTTAGACACGAGCGTTGGTCTGAGGACCAACTATCGAACTGAATTCGGCATAATGCTCTACAAGAAAATGTACTGACCATTGCTATATGCTTAGACACGAGCGTTGGTCTGAATGACTATCGAACTGACTTCGGCACAATGCTCTACAAGAAAATGTACTGACCATTGCGATATGCTTTAGACACGAGCGTTGGTCTAGAATGACTATCGAACTCACTTTGGCATTAATGCTCTACAAGAAAATGTACTGACCATTGCTATATGCCTAGACACGAGCGTTGGTCTAGAATGACTATCGAACTGACTTTGGCATAATGCTCTACAAGAAAATGTACTGACCATTGCGATATGTTTAGACACGAGCGTTGGTCTAGAATGACTATCGAACTGACTTTGGCACTTAATGCTCTACAAGAAAAACTATACTGACCATTGCTATATGCTTAGACACGAGCGTTGGTCTAGAAAATGACCATCGAACTGACTTGGTCTGGCACTTAATGCTCTACAAGAAAATGTACTGACCATTGCGATATGCTTAGACACGAGCGTTGGTCTAGAATGACTATCGAACTGACTTGGTCGGCGCGAACTCAATGCTCTACAAAATGTACTGACCATTGCTATATGCTTAGACACGAGCGTTGGTCTAGAAATGACTATCGAACTGACTTCGGCACTTAATGCTCTACAAGAAATGTACTGACCATTGCTAGATATGCTTAGACACCATTTGAGCGTTGGTCTAGAATGACTATCGAACTGACTTTGGCAAATGCTCTACAAGAAAATGTGCGGCCATTTGCTGAGACCATTGCGATATGCTTTGGCATAATGACACGAGCGTTGGTCTGGGAAGATGACTATCAGACTGACTTTGGCATAATGCTCTAAAGAAAATGTACTGACCATTCGGCACGAGCGTTGGTCTAGAATGACTATCTACAAATGCTCTACAAATGTACTGACCATTGCGATATGCTTAGACACGAGCGTTGGTCTGGTATTCTATCCAACGGCTTCGACTAATCTCTACAAGAACTGACTTTATGGACACGAGCGTTGGTCTAGAATGATGACATATCAGACGACTTCGGCATAATGCTCTAAAGAAAATGTACTGACCATTGCTATATGCTTGACACGAGCGTTGGTCTAGGGCTATCGAACTCACTATCGAACTGACTTTGGCAGACACGAGCGTTGGTCTAATGACTATCGGACTGACAATGAAAATGTACACTGACCATTGCTATATGTAGACACGAGCG